TCTCCATCACTTCCTTTTGCCCTGGATAGGGAATCATTCCTTCCTCTCTGCCACCCACCAGCTAGACCCAGCCCCCGCTGCCCCCATCCCGCCAGCATAGGTCTGCACAGGGTCCAGGGCAGGGTCCGCGGTGCGGGGATGGAGTGGGATCCGGGGATATGATTGCTCAGGGTGAGCTGGCAGACAGCAACGGGGAGAGCTGGGATGAGTGGGGGGAGTACACCTGCCCTGCCCCACCACCCCATGGGGAGGGCGCTGGGGGGGGCGGGGTTATGGGGGAGCAGAAGCCACCAGGGCCACTTTCCTGGCCTTCCCGACATGCTGCTGCCTGGAGCCCAGGAGGGGCTGGCCATCTGCCAGCCCTGAGTGGAAATGTCCCAGTAAAAAGGGCCCTATTGGGATCCCTGGGGAGAGGACCCTGGGTGCTGTCCCGGAGGAGTGAGAGCCTGAGAACCTGGGGGGCGCTGGAAAGGGATCCATCCCCACGCAGCACTCCCTCCCTCCTCCCCGCCCTCCTGGCTGCTCACCCCAGGTTCAAGTACACTCAGGGGCATGGCTGACTCACAGCAGGGGGGAAGACAACCGGGAATTTGGGGGGCAGGGGTCGCTGGGAGGCTATGCGTGAGTGAGTGTGCTTCTAGCTGTGTGTGCTCTGGGTCTTTGTGTGCCCGGCGTCTCTGTGCCGTGTTTCTCTGGTGTCTCTAGAGTGTGTCTGATGTTTGTGTGTCGCCGGTGTTTCTCTGCGGTGTGTGGTGTGTGTGCGTGCGCGCGCGCGGTCTCTGTGTGCTGTGCGTCTCCGTGGTGTGTGTGTGTGTGTGTGTGTGTGTGTGTGTGTGTGTGTGTGGTGGCCCGTGCGCCGCGAGTCCAGTGGGCCCGTGGGCGGGTGTCCCTGTGTGTGGTCTGTGCTGTGAGTGGCAGGTGTGAGGCTCAGGGCCCACGCTCAAGGTCCCCTGGACACAGAATCCATGCTGTCGGGGAGGGCAGTGAGGGCGGAGAGGAAGAGCAGAGCCCCGCGCGGGGAAGGGGCGGCAGGGAGGCGGGGAGGGGCGGGCCCCCGGGGGGGGGGGGGGGGGGGATGGTTGCAGCGCGGCGCCCCTCGCCCCGCCCCAGTCGCCGCAGGGGGGCCTGGTCCCGGCCGGCCCCTGCCCCCATCGCCCGTGCGCTCCACGCGGGCCTCGATTTCCAGGCTCGCCGTTGGCCGCGCGATGCCAGCTTAGCAGTTTTTTGCTTAACTGCAACCAAAGGCAGCAAGGAGAGGTTGGGGGGGTGGGGTGGGGAGCGGGGCGGCCCCCCCAGGCCCCGCCGCGACCCCGGGGCAGGTGGAAGGCGGCGGCGCGGGCCCGCGGCGGGAGGAGGGCGCGGGCGGGAGCCGCGAGCGCAGCGCGAGGGGAAAAGTTTCCGACCCCCGAGCTGGAGGCTGAGAAGTTTCTGCCGCGCCGGGCGGCGCCAAAGCCAGGCCAACACTGCCCCCGCGTGGGCGCGGCGCGGCGCTTCAGCGGGCGGCGCGCGGCCCTTGCGGAGAAACTGAGGCTCAGAGAGGGCGAGGCGGGGTGACACACACGCAAGGTCATGGGGGTGGGGGCGCGGTAGAATCAGGCTCTCCAGGAAATGGAAATACTAGGGCGGGGTGGGGGTGTCGTGAAAGCGCAGGAAAGGGGATGGAGGGGAGTCATCCCTGGGATCGAAACCCCATTCAGTCCCCAGGGAAGGGGAGTTGTAGAGTTGCGCCCATCCCATCCACCACAGGGTTTCTCCAAACTGCCTAGATCTGTGGCCTTTCTTCTGGCAGCAGAGCACCCCTGCAAAGCAAATCCTTCCCATCCACGACCCTCCTGGCCCTAAGATCCGCACCGCCTGTCCCCTGCCCAGCACCCCCCATCCCATCCTTTCCTATTCTGCAGGGTGCCTGGGTGTGGATTCCGTGGCTGTTTCCTCACTGGCCAGGAGGTGGCGATAAAGACCTGGATCCTCGGCTTGGCGAGGGGTTGGGGCCGAAGCGCTGCCTGGGCAGAGGGGAGGGGGCTTAAACTTTGCCCAGGAGATTGGAACCCAGATGTGGCGGGGCCAAACCTGGCCGCCGGGAGTATGGGGCTGGCGATGCTGAGTCAGTGCAGCGGTCGGACCAACGCCACCTGGTCTTTTGCCACCTCTTGATGTGATTTTAAACACTGCCCACTCCTCCTCCCTCCACCACTAGGAGAGAAACATCTAGTCCCCACCCACCCTGGATGCTTGCCCTCCAGGGACCTGGGGAATGCAGAAGACAAACGTTTGTCCACCCCGTTGGAGTCTGGACACCCTCATTGCCCGGTGGAGGTCAGCAAGTAGCCTTTGGGTCCAGTCAAAGAGGGAAGCTGGGGCCGGGGCTCGGGGCTCAGGGCAGGTGCCTGTTTCAGGTGTGGGTTGATCTAGGCTGACAGAAGCTTGGTCCCAGGTTTGAAGTGTGTGGCAGGGCCTCCCCCTTCCCAGAAGAGGGGTTCACCTGGAACAAGTCCTAGCCCCTGACGATGGCTTGCCCCCACCCCTCAGCCTCATCCCAGCCATGACTTTGTCCTCTCCCCCTCCTTGATCCAGGACCCCTGGCACCTAGAGAGGCTTGTGGGGTGAGACGTGGTAGCAGGTCCCAGCCATCTGGAATGCATGTTTATTTGTGGGGTGAGAAAGGCCTCTCTTCAACCCCTGGCCCGCGTCCACGCATGCGCTTGGGCTCCAGTAGACATTCACCTGGGAGCCTCCTGTGGTGTCATGGAAGGCAGGAGGGGCTGGTAGCCCTTAGGGCATCCTCGCTTCAGGACTGTGTGCAGCACCAAGCTGGGCAGGAAGGATTCCTACAGAGACCAGGAGGACCAGCTGGAGGCTGCGGGGTCCCTCTGGGCCGGAGACGTGGCTCCCTGGGCCCAGGGGGATTCTATACCCCAGCCCAAGGGGGCAGGCACGGGGGTCAGCCCCATTGTACAGATGAGGGAATGCAAATGCAAAAAGACCCCAGTGCTTGCAAGTATGGGGCTGGGAATCCAAACCCAGCTCAGAGCGAGAGCCCAGCCCTTAGCCATGTGCAGGGAGGCTTCACCTGGTACCCCAGCCACCCCACTGGGCAGGGGTTCTCCAGGTGGCTGGCTGTCAGCAGGTACTCACCAGCTTCCGGCTCTAGGAGCAGGGCGATTTGCCCACCTGCCCCAGGATGTTGTCAGTGTCCAGCAAGGCTTGGAGGTCACCTCGTGGCCTCTGTGTGGTGGCCCTGGGGATGCAGGGCGGGCTGCTCTTCACGGAGGCATCCTCAGAGAGGTGACCCGGTGGCTCCTGGATGGGCCTGAGGGGGACAGGAGCCTGTGAGCTGCATGGACCCTGAATCCCACGTCCATCCATGGCTGGCAGGGCCCTCAAGGCTGCGACCCTTTGCCTGCCTGCTGCTGGATGGGGTCGTCTACAGGGTGAGGAGGGGGTGCCTGGCAATGCCTATGAATCCGGTCCCCTTCCCCAAAGCCTCACAGGCCAGGGCAGTCCCAGCCAAACGAGATGTTGGCCATGGCCTCCTCCTTGGCCCTGGGGCACAGGGCTTTGGGCAAACTCTCCAGCCATCTCCCGACACTCCCGAACACCCCTTCTGATGTCATTGACCCGGGAGCTATCGCATTCTCAATGGTACCCTGCCGGACTGGAGGAGAGAGCGCTCCAGTGAGATCTCTACCTGGGGCGGGGGTGTACCGACACCCCCACTCTCCCCTCCTCCCTCTCTGGCAGGCAAGGCCGGGCACAGCCCTGTCTCCATGGCAACCCAAGGCTCCCCAGTGCCTTATGGCTGCCTCCAGAGAAGGCTCAGGTTTTAAAACTATCTTGCGTGACTGTCTCTGCCTTTATTACCCAAACTGTGCCCCCCCACACATACCCACTCCTACTGCAGGCCCAAATGGGCCTTCTTTCCCGTAGTGGGAAGGCCAGTCACGCCACCGGGGAAATTCAGAGACAATGCTGAGACTCCTGCAGGGATGGAGGGGCTAGGAGTCTTCCCTGCCCGATAGCTGCCCTTCCGGCTGGTCAGGGGCCCCAAGTTCCCCAATGGCTGCCTCAGGATGGAAAGGGCTGGGAAGCAGTCAGCCGAGAGAGCCCCACTCCGGTGCCCTGGGATGTGACCACAGCTCCTGTGGCCACTGGGCCCCAAGGAAGCTTCTCCTGAGCTAGCTAGCTGCCATTCCCATGAAACGGTTTCTCCCTGGGGGCACCCTGGCCTCTCTTCTCGGCTGCTGTGTCACCTGCTCTCGGAAGCTTTGGCTTCCCCGTCAAACAACAAGAAGCTGGACAAAACTGCAGCTTCTATTTCCAACTTCCTATGACCCTAAGGGGCCTGGGTAGGGTCCCTCCTGAATCAGCAAAGATCCTGGATTTTAGGGCTTTACCCACAGCTAGGCTTTGGAACAGCCACGTTTCCTGAAACTGCACACAGTACATGGTCAATAAATAGATGCAAGCTCTTGGAGGCCCTGGGGCTGCTAGCTCCTGAGAAGTGAAGAGGCTGGGCTGATGGAGAGAGGGGCGGGGGGATTGGTAAAGGTTATACCAGAGCAAGGACACGCATTCTTCCCACCTGCTTCTTGACACCCACTTCAGAAAACACTGGAAACTGTGCCAAAGCAGACACCACCACATCCATCCCCAAGGAGCCGAGGGCAAACTTCCATCTCAGAACCCGGGCCTGGTGGTTCCTAGCCTCTTTGCTGGACCAGCCAGTGCCCGACTTCCCCAGAGAGAAGGTTTGATCTTCTGGACCTTTCTGGGCAACTCCTCAGCCAGGCAGGCCTTCATGGATATGGGAAGAAGATGCTTTAAGTGCCTTGCCACCTTCTTCAGCCCCTGTAGGCCATGGAGGGGGCCAGACGTGGGAGTCGGGAGGCTGTGTGCGTGTCTTCCAAGGTGAGCAGATGTGGCACGTGGGAACCCGTGGCAGCAAGAAAGTCTTCAGTGGTGGCCAGGCCTGGGCAGCCATTGTTTCCTCCACTGTGACTGCTCCCCGGTGCCACCCATGTTGGGACACCTCTGCAGGACCTCGGACCCTCTACTTGGTCTTTGAGGCCCTCCTGACACTTTCTGGAGAAGCCAGTTCGGGCCCCTTCTCAGCAGAGTCAGTGGATTCCTAGCCTCTGCAGGCTGGCCCTTACTCACAGGACCCAGGGCCACAGTCTCTGGTCTCTGGGCTCCAGGCTGGAACTTTTGAGTCCTGGGGCTCCCTGCCCCATCTGCTTACCTGCACAGCTGCGCTCCCAGTAGCGGAGCGCTGTGTCCCGCAGGGTCTCATCGGCGAATCGCACTCGGAAGGGGCAAAACCGTCTGCGCTGTCCTGAGCTTTCCCCCAAGGAGCTGTGGGTGAGCACAGCCTTGAGCTTGGGGGCCTGTGCACCGTGGGGCCTGCTGAGAGAGATGAGAGGGGCAGGGGAGGGTCAAGGCCTGAGCCCCCAGCCCCACATTCCACCCCAACAACACACGTCCACTGGACCAGCACTCGCTGTGTATCCTGACACCCACAGTAGCTGGCCTTTTCTGGGAGTACTTCATGCCTGCCAGGCAGTGGATCATGCATGCAACACGCATCAGCCCGTTACACCCACACAACCGGGGAAACATGATTGTTATTCTCATTTTACAGATGAGCAAACTGCGGCACAGAGATGTTTTGCAACTTGCCCAAGGTCACGCAGCCGGTAACGGGTAGAGCCAAGATTTTTTTTTTTTTTTTTTTTTGAGCCAAGATTTGAATCTTAGTTCCAGAGCTGGCAATCCTATATATCAAGCAATTCAGCAGAGGGAAGAAGGATATGAACTTGAGCGTTAAGAAGGCCCGGGTTTCGACCCTAACTCTTTTAAGCCTCAGTTTCTTTATCTGTAAAATGGGGATCATCCTTGTGCCCACCACATGGGGTGGCAAGATGAAATAAGTGTGTGGTGCCCAGAGTAAACATCTCTGACTTCAAACTGTTCTTATAATCAGTCTCAGCTACGCCTCTACCCATGCATGTGAGTTTGGGCAGACCACACTCGAGTCCTCCATTTTGCAGTCTTCCCTGCTCAATTATGTATTATATAGTGTAAGCATGATAATAGCATCCTTCTAAGAGTTTGGTAAGTATCAAATAACTTATGGGAGGCATCTAGTACAAGGCCTGGCATGGGGCCCGCGCTCAGTAAAGGGCATTCTGTTATTGTTACATTTATTAATTTCAGCCTCAAGGGCAAGGCTGCGGGAGGGCCTGCTTGATCCATCCATGGCTCTGTTATTCAGAAATGCCACGTTCAACCTTAAGGGCACACGTATTGATGTATCTGCATCCATTTATCTGACTACATCTTTATGTCTGTGTGGACACGTAAGGGATACTTTCATCAGCCCACAAAAGAGCCAGGCAGCCGGGGGATGTCCCAGACCTAGTGATCCAACAGTTGTCTGCTTATCCACCCCTGGTCTGTGCTGGCCTCAGGGCTAGACACAGGTGCACCCTGGCTCTGCCCAGCGGACTGAGATCTCAGCTTCTCCTATCAGAGGCTGCTGGAGCCCATTCCCATGCACCCTGGTGTCCCCTGCAGGGCCTACCGGGGAATCTCACACACCACGAGGTGCTCAAGTATTAGCTCTTAAATGTGAAACGCCGTGACTGTGTCCACCCCTGCTGTTTGTCATATTTGAGATAATGAGTTCCATACTTTTATGTATTATATCTTGTGAGACGTAGTGTGTTTATTTGATTGATTTAAAGTTCCTGGCTTGGCAAATGTGTTTCACTTCTGGCACCTTCTCTGAGCCATCGGTGGTGTCTGCCTGGAGCACTGTGTCTGGAAGGGTTCGAGGCCCAGTGGCGGGAAAATGCCGGGATCGAATAGTACTGTCAGGCATGGGTCCAGAAGGAGAAGGAATGGCATGTATGTTGTGTATTTACTCTCTTTGGTCTTAAAAACTCATGGGCAATGCTCTTCACCTTTCACCTCGGTTTAAGCCTGTTTATGCTGAAGGAGTTTTTTCTGCATTCTTTTCCCCCTTCATTAGAGCTATGGCATCGAGGTCCAGGTAAGCTCTAATGCCCAGGCTCTTCTCCTATCTCCATCCCTTATCTCATTTCCCCCAATATCTGACATATAGCAAAACCTAATAAAAGTTAGAGGAAGAAATGGACAAGTGAATGGTGGGATGGGTAAAAGGATGGAAGACTGGGTGCGTGGGTGGACGGATAGATGGACTCATGAATGAGTTAATGAAAAGGTCTGAATAGAAGGACTGGATGTTAGGAGGATGGGTAGATGTATGGATGGTGGATGAATGCCTCTGTATATGGTGAGTGTGTGGACTCGTAGATGGCTTCATGACAAGTTATAGATGGACGGTACCCTGGATTGACAAGTGCATGGAAGGATTTGTAGATGACTGATCATTGAATTCATGGATGGGTGGATAGAATCATCAGAGTTTCTGGTTAGAAAGATGACTGGCTAGATGGATGAATGGATGGATGGAGAGATTCCAATGGATGGGTTGTAGAAGACCTGGTTCACAGAGAAGATGTATGCAAGGATGGATAGGTGAATGGGAGCAGGAATATCTGAATGGATTCATGGATGGATTATGAATATGTTGGCAGAAGACCTGATGAATGGGTGGATGGATTCATAGATGTTGATGGATAATCCTTGGATAGGTTGGGAGGAGACCCGCTCTGGGATAGATCTATGTATTGATAGGTAAGTGGATAGATGGATGGATGGATGGATGGATGGATGCAGAAGACCTGATGAATGGGTGGATGGATTCATAGATGTTGATGGATAATCCTTGGATAGGTTGGGAGGAGACCCGCTCTGGGATAGATCTATGTATTGATAGGTAAGTGGATAGATGGATGGATGGATGGATGGATGGATGGATGGGTGGATTCATGGATGGTTTATGAATAGTTTGTCAGAAGACCTGATTCACGGATGGACACATAGACGAATGTACAGGCGGACAGATGGATAAATTCATGGATGAGAGACAAGAGGAAAGAAAAGAAGAAATGCTCTTTCTCCCCAGCCCCCTACCTCCAGTCTCCTGTAACTTACTGGTTGGCCTTCCTGAAGGTGAACTGTGAGTGATCTCTCCTCAGGGTCCCCGGGGCAGGTATCTGATGGAGCAAAATCTTCTTAAGACTATTCTGGAAATACGACGACTGGCCCCTTGAAGACAAACAAGCCACCCCTGGCATGAGTGGTCAGGGTCCCCCATCCTCAGAGCACTGTTGGCAACCCTGTCCCCATCAGCGGGTAACTTGACACTTACCGCAGGTCTGGAAGGAAGGAATAGTGAGGACACCAGAGGGAATGGTGGCAGTGTTCTGACACACTCCTTTTTGGTTGTGATGCTGAGGGTGCTGGGAGCCAGGAGAAGGTGGAAATAGCTATATGAGCCTTCGCTTGGGGACAGTCCTTACTAGGCTCTTTTTTTTTTTTTTTATCCCAGGACCCCGGGATCATGACCTGAGCCGAAGGCAGTCGCTTAACCAACTGAGCCAAGGCGCCCCTAGGCTCTTTCTAGTTATAGGGCCTTGGGTCGCAGTTTCCTCAACTGTACAAGAGGGGGTTTGGTAGACCCGCCCTCGAGGGGTCGTTGCCAGGGCTCTGCCAGGCCTACTCCACCAACAGTACCTGCGTTCATCCCGGAAATGACTCCGCCCCGCCCCCTGGGGGGGGCCTCACTCGGAGGCCGGGGTTCCGCGCGCTCTGCCCCCAGCTGGTGCAGGAGCTCCCGGCACTTGCTGGGGAGGAACTTTCCTAGGAGGGCGCGCAGGGTGGCCGCGCCCCGGCAGGAATCCTCGCGCTCTCCAGGCCCCGTGCGCCGGGGTGCGAGTTCCCGGGGCGCACCGGCCAGGAGCAGGGGCGGCAGCAGGGGCGACCTCAGCCTTGTCCGGTTCTGCGCCGCCGGCTGGGCCAGGGTGGGCAGGGCGGGCAGGCGCGGCGAGGGGCTCCTGACGCCCAGCCCCAGCTCTGGGTGCGAGGAGCCGCCCGGCCACCACGCGCCGCCGCCCTCCGAGGCCCTCAAGCCGCCGGGGGACCCGCGGAGCTGGGGCAGGGGCAGCCTGGGCAGTAGCGGATCTCTCCTTCCGCGAGCGCCGTCGCCGGGGAGCCCCTTGGGCGCCACCTGTTGGGTCCCGGGGTTGGGGGGACGCCGGGGCATGTCTGGCCCTGCGCTCAGCTCAGGGCATCCTCATTCCAGTGGGGCGGGGGGGGGGGTGCCGTGCGGAGTGAAGAGGAGGGCATAGGCCAGCCCCCAGGCCGTAGTGCCCGGAGGGGGTGGTTCCTTGTGGTTTGAGGGTAACACCGCTGCCTCGTCAGGCAGCGAGTGGCTTCAGGCCAGACCTCGCTCAGCCTCTGTTTCCTCACCTGCAAAATGGTCACGTAAGAGTACACACCTTTCTGCGTTGCTGTGACGTTTAGAGGAGCGAGCGCGTGTAAATGGCATAGAAGAGTGCCAGGCACGCTGTACGTGCTCAACGGAAGGCTAGCTGCTATTACTATTGTTGTTATTATTATTTTAAAATTATTATTATTTAGGATTTAGTCGGAGTCCCACTACTTATTAGCTTTGCAACCTTGGACAAGCCAATTGATTAACTTCTCTCAGTGCCCTTATCTGTAGAATGGGGTTAACAGAGCACCTGCTCCCTTGTGACTTAGCCCACTGGAGTGTTCAAGTCCTATTACGCTATTAGCACTCCCCTGGGAATTAGGAAACCTGGAACCAGCTCCAAAGGAAGAGACCTGCCCAGCAGTTGCCCCGTCCTGCTGGGGCCTCAGGGCCCCTTGGGTGGAGAGCTTGTTGAAAATACAGATGCCCCAGATTCTGACTCAGTAGGTCTGGGGTGGGGCCAAGACATATATTTTCTTTTTTAAGATTTTATTTTTAAGTAATCTCTACCCCCAACGTGGGGCTTGAACTCACAACCCCGAGATCAAGAGTGGCAAGCTCTACCAGAGCTACTCAGCCAAGAGCCCCAAGACACATATTTTTAACAAACTTGCCCTTTGGGAGACAGGGCCCCACACTTGCCCCCAGCTTCTGACACTGGGGGGTCTTGGAGCCTGCTTCCTCCCTATCGCACCCCACTCCCAGATTGTTTCAGCTCTGAGCTGTCTCCTGGTGTCACACTCACCGCAGGGGGCTTCTGGGTGGGTCCAGAGAAGGTCCCTTGAGTTTAGAGCCCCCTAACCGGTGGGCTGGTCCTTGGGAGACCCCATCTTCCCAGCCTGGTCCCTCTGCTGGACACTCCCTGCTGCCTCCTGGGCCTCTTCAGGGTCATTGTGATCCGCCCCTCACCCAAGGCCATGGGAGGAACAGTGGGCCTGGAGACAGAAGGTGGGGCTTTGTGCTCAGGAAGTCAAGGCTGCACTCACAAGGGGGTGGTGGAACCCCTGACAAGGGCAACCAGGCCCAAGCCAGGGGTGGAGGGCCCAGGGTTCCACTCCCCTCTCTGGGTCTGGGACGCCCAGGTGGGTCAAGTTTGGGCTGGGCAGCTCTGGAAGTACAACAGTAAGAATGCAGTGGGCCTGGAAGGGAACTGATTTCAAATCCAGGCTCTGCTTCCGTTTGCTATGCAATGCTGGATGAGCTTGTCCGTTCTCAGGGCTCCATCTGGGACTCTCGGCTGGGAGGAGGCAGGGGAGAAGCCTGTACTGTGAAACTTGAGTGGGGGAGAAGGATTGTTTGGACCAGTAATTTTGCTGCCATGGTATCATGTTACAGTTTTATGAGTCTGCCTGGAGGAAGCATCATCGCTGATGCATTTCCATTCTCTGCAAATACTCCTCAACGAGGGATGGAAGGGCATATACCTCAGGAAGTTAGAATATAGAGTGGGAAAGGTGAACATTTTTATATTTATTCTAAGAGCATGTGGGTTTTTTAAAAAAATGGATGAGGAACACCGGACTAACTAGATGATTTCTAAGGAGCCCTCCAGCTCTTGCATGCTACAAACATTTCTTGACCAACTACTGTGTGCAAGGCTTGGGAATTCAGAGATGCAAGAGGCTTTGAGGTCGGGGCTGTCCAGATCTGGAGAGGCCTCAAAGTCCAGGTGTAGGGAAGGGACTTTCTCTTCCATTGACAGGAAAAAAAGGTGGGGGTGGATTTTTAGGCACCCCTAAAAGAGCTGGGCTCAGAGCTGCCCCCAAAGGAAGATTATAGACACACCCAGCACTTGAGATTTTTCAGGATTTATCCCCTTCCCTTAGAGACATGGACAATCAAGCTTGGGAGAAGGGCCCAGGCCAGGGGAACCAAGTCTGACCGGGGGTACTGTGGAGAGGATGCCATATAATATATACATAACCAGATTTAGGGGACTCAACAGCAGTCAGCACTCCCCCCCCCCCATAGCTTTCATTTTGTTAGAGCAAACACAATTTTTTTTATAAGATTTTATTTATTTATTATTTGACAGAGAGAGAGCACAAGCAGGGGGAGCTGCAGGCAGAGGGAGAGGGAGAGCAGGCTCCGCGCTGAGCAGGGAGCCCGATGCGGGGCTCGATTCCAGGACCCTGGGCCCACGACTGGAGCCGAAGGCACAGGCTTAACTGACTAAGCCACCCAGGCGCTCCAGCAAACACACTTTTAAGAATCTCCTGTGTGCAAATCTCCTCCTCCCAGAGGAGGGCACTGTAAATCTGAGACCAGGGCATCGGTTTAGGAAAAATGAGCTTATCATAAATATATTGTGTTTACTGAGAGCCCACTGCAGGCACAGGGCTGAAGGCTTGACCTGCAATATCCTACACATTTTTTTTTTTTTTTAATTTACTTGATAGAGAGAGGGAACACAAGCAGGGGGAGCTGCAGGCAGAGGGAGAAGCAGACTCCCCGCTGAGCAGGGAGCCCGACGGGGGTCTCAATCCCAGGACCCTGGGATCATGACCTGAGCCGAAGGCAGACGCTTAACCAGCTGGGCCACCCAGGCGCCCCTATCTTACGCATTTAACACTGGCAGAAGAGGAGACTGAGGCTTGGAGAGGTTCACAAGGCCTACCCACCTGCAAACTCACAGTCCATCAAGGTTGTTTCGGGGACCCCACCAAAATTTCTATACATGGGAGGAGCCTATGGGAGGGCAGGCTTTTTGGAATGGAAACATCAAGTACTTGTTCTGTTTATTTGGGGTAACAACCCCTTGGCACTGTCAAGGGTATTTCTTTCTTTCTTTGTGGATCTGTTTATTATTTTAAGATGCAAATTGTTACGGGTACGATTTGAGGAATAAGGCTCCCTCCCCCCCCCAACTCCCGCCCCTTTATACCGAGGGGAAAACCCACAGAACGCTCGTTTTTTAAAAGTCCAGCCTTCGGCCTCTAACCGGACTGGTGCACGCGCTGGAGGCAGGAGAGGCTCGGCGGCGCTGAGGCTCTTTGAAGTCCAGAGGTCCTTCCGGGGACCCAAAAGTCAATTGAGGTCAGCCGCCCATGGGGCGGGGCGAACCGGTCTGGGGCGGGGCGAACCGGTCTGGGGCGGAGCTAGCCGCGGCCCCGCACCCCGGCGCCGGGAAGTGACGTGTGCGGACAAAGGCAGCGCGCGCTGCGGGGTGTAGCGTTTGTCGGTGGTCTGGCGGAGCTGGTGGTGGGCTTGTGGGTTCTTCGCTGCCGCCCCCGGCCGCCTTCCCTTCTTCTTTCCCGTCCTCTTCTCCCGGGTCCCGGGAGCCCCCGCCCGGGGTGAGTAGCGCGAGGCGGAGCGGGGAGCGGTGGCCGGCGGGGGAAGGGAGGTCCCGGCCCCCAACTGCCTCGGCGCCCTGCGGCCCCGGCTTGTCACGTGACCCGGCGCGAGCCGCCCGGGCCCCCACGTGCTCGCCCCGGGGTGGTCGGACCTGGGCCGCCGGTGGCGGCGGGTGGAGGAGGAAGGCCCGAGGCGCCCGGACCCTGGACGGGGCACTCCCCCGCGCCGTCTCGGGGCCGTAGCTAGACCCTTCCCTCTCTGAGCCTCAGTTTCCCCCGTGAGAAACGGGGATTAAGGAGAGGACGCACTCGGAGGGTAGGTGTCAGGACGCAGTAAAACGCTCAGGTCGGAGCTGGGCACAGCGTAGTGCCCGTTGCATGGGAGTTGCTATCATATTTCACCTTGGACCCAACCCCAGATATGGCTCGACACTGGTGCCGCTCAGAACACAGCTCGCCGCCGAGAGCCCTTGGAGCCAAGGTCAGCCAGTTTGCGGAGGGGCTGTCCTATCGAACGAAAGGCCCAGCCAGGCTCTGCTGCCCATCAACGGCGGGATCGCTCTGGGATAGAAACAGCTGGTGTCAGAGGCCCTGACGGTGGGGTGGGGTAGTCTTGCAGATGGTCTGGATGTATAGAATCATTGCCCAGAGAGAGGGGATGAGCCCTTGGAGGACTAGGGCCTTGACTGTTTTAAGAAGTCTGGATTCCCTCCTTATGCTGTTCCTGGTTTCCTGTGTGTGTTTGTGTTAAGGCACATCACTCCTTTAGTGGAATGGTTTTCTATCCCTCAACGGGGTTTTGGGGGAGGGCTGGAAGTACATGTGGAATGCTTTGGTGGGGAGCAGAAGCCATAGAGTCACAAAGATAGCGGCTCCAGAATCTCTGCAGTGTTTCTGTGCTTGCAGGGATGGGACGCTCACTCCCCTTCTGTACGTTTGCAGAGCTGTTTGTCTGCCGGGTTGACCCCTAGCATCACAGTAATAATCCCTTAGGTGTGTCCAACACTACAGTTTCTAGGGTATTTCACTGCATTTTTCCCTTTTGACCTCTACAATTGGCAGAGAATTGGTGAAAATCTCATTTGACAGAGATTTCTAAACTTGAGATGATACGTGCCTGCCACTGTACAGATCACTTGATGCTTTCACACCCACCTTTAATCATCACAGCGTTCTTGTAAAGTCAACATTGCTGTTCCCATTTTATAGATAAAGAAACTTACCTCCTAACTGAGGTTAAGTGTCTTATCTGAGCTTACACAGTCAGAGAGAAGCAAAGCCAGGATTCAGACGTGGTTCATTTGACTCCACCAGAGCCTTAGTTTGTTTTTAAACACTCCATCTCCCTTCCGCTCCCAGCCTTTTTTAGTCTTCTTTACTTCCTCCTTCCCTTTCTTTTTCATAGAGCACCTTGCCATTCCCATATGTCCAGCTGCTGTCTCAGATCCAGGGAGAACAGGCCCTGTTCAGCAGGCTGCAAGAGGGAGGAGGTAACTTCAGGCAGGCTCTTGTCTCCTGTTAATTTCAGGCTTTTTCTTAGAGACTGGTAAATATGGGGATGCGATGCCTCCCCAGACCACTGACAGTGACAGTTTAAACACCGTTCTTTTCCATGGATCCTGGGAGAAGTAGTAGCTGGGGCGGCTGCCCACCTGTCCCCCTAAACACCTCGGAGGGGAAGAGGAGGTGGCCAGATGACTGTGAATGGTGCACAACACATTCTGTCTGCTGAACAGAGTCCGCTATGAGCAAAGGGCTTCTCCCGTCCAAGCTAGTCAAGAGTGCACACAAAGCCAGATTGTGCCCAGGCCCTTTCCCACCCCTGCAGCCATGTAGCTCCTCACCACAGCCTGGGCAGACTATATGAGGACTTCTGCTATTTGACTGACAACTCCACTGTTCCCTGTGACCCCTAGGGACCTCCTGCCCAATCCAATCTGGACACCAGGAGGCAAGGTGTAGACAGTGCCCCAGGGAGTCACATTTACTAATGAATCAGCTGTTGGAACAAATGTCAAAATTAGACTTGCCATTTCCTGGCCTGGATGTTCCTCCCCTGGCTTGTTCCTAGAATCTGCCTGTAAGTGGAGTTCTTGTAAATTAGATTATTCAGAGGACCTTGACATTTAAAGAAATCATGTTGTAAGGCTTTTGGTAAAGCAAAAAAATTACATTGTCGGTAATGGCCTTCAGTGTTACCAGTTTTGAATGGTTGGATTTTTGTAGGATTTTCTCAAAAGGGGAAAATGTAGCCCCACAAAGCTCATTCTTTGGTTCATTCAGCAACCAATTAGCATTCCCCCGCTTTGTGTCTGGTGCCGGGCTAATCGGGAATGAGGTCGTATCCCTGTCCCCAGGAAGTTGACCTCCTTGGGAGGGAAGGCAGGCAGGCAGAGAGAGTACAGGGAGGGGAGTGGCCCCACATTTATTGCGTTCATTTCGTGGGGAGTGAACTTTTTGTTGAATGCTACATGGGACGCAAGAGAAATACAGTGATACATCTCAGGGTGTTGCCACTGTTCTCCAAGGAGCTCCCAGGCCGGTGGGGAGATAGATAAGACAAAACCAGCAGTTTGCCAAGATTGGTGAGCAGTGATGGGGACAGGGTCGGTGTTGCCGAGCTCCCGTCTGAGTGCTGGGTAATGGTGGAGAGGCTGTGACATGGCAACTGGGAGGCCTGTTGGCGGGGGCTGGGCAGCCCCCAGACTGAGCTCTGTGGCGACATTCAGGCCGGTGGCCCTCTTTCCTGTCAGCTCGCAGGGACAGCACTGTATGTGATATAGGAATGATAGCATTCCTGGCTATCAGCAGGTTTCTGCGTTCTTTTGCTTTACCCTGTGACTCAGCGCTGTCATTCTTGTTGAGCAGTGTGCCACTTTCTCTTTCCCACACTGGTGTGGAACATGGCAGCGAGCCAGGGTGAGGGGATGCTGTATTTAGAACCAGCGTCCCCCCACGCCCCCGCCGGCCTGTTACCCCAAAGGGCCCTTCAACTGACACAGTAGTTGAAACTTGCCTTCACTGTGGTCCCAGACCCTTGTAACCTGAACAGGGAAGCTGGAGCGTCAGCCTGAGAACTGATTCAAGAATCTGAAGGGGATTGGAGGACTCTCCACACAGCAGAAGGGCTCTAGAGGGCGGAAACAGTGACAGTCACAGGTCTAAGAACTGGACCTGTTAGGGCACGTGGATGCTGTTGCTTCTCTTCTGGTTCCTCAGAGGGCCAGTATGGCCTTGTCCGTGAGGAATGTCCGAACCCAGGGAGGAGCCAGGAGATGGGGAGGAGGACCCTCCCCCAGTGCCTCCGCTGGCTAGCTGCGGTCCTTGGAAAGGGCTGACCGTGGTGGAAGCAGGATTGCATCAGTGAAGAGCATTCCTGAGTTGTTGGGCTGAGGTGGGCCTGCTGCTTCTGGAAGGTTCCTTATCTTCTAGGACAAGTTCAGAGTACAGTTGTGCATTGGGGATTAGTGACAAACGTGGCCAATGAAAATTCTTCACCTCTTCTCGTGTTTTGTTCCCTTTCCTTCTCTCCTTATAGTCAGTCTCTAAATTACATATCGAGGGCTGTATGCTTGTCCTCAAGGCACTTTTCTCTTTCCCATCAGATGACTTCTCCTGAAGCCCTTAAGGCATTCCTCCATCCTAGAGGTTTTTCACTTGTTTTGAGCACTCTCCTGGGGTCCCACATGAAGCTTTGCTGTCACCCTGTGTTCCAGGACTCAGTGACTTAACTACCACCCAGTGGAGTGGTGTGAAGGTGGAGGGAGTGAAGCCCCAGGAGCATAGTCGTGCAGTGTTCCTGGTGGATTGGGGGGTGGGGGCCTTCACCACTGCACCAAGGGGCTTCTGTGGGCTTGGTGCTGGGGACACAGTGGTGAAAAGGCAAGGTTGCGCCTCTGGAGCTTCCATCCCAGTGGAGGCTAGACAGCAAGTAAACAGTGTAATTTCAGATAGAAGTACACATTCTGAAGGCAGGAAAACGTGGGGATTGGATTGGGGTGTTGGAGGAAGCCACCTTAGCGGGGCCCGTCAGGGAGGGCCTCTGAGGATGTGACCCCGAAGCTGAGAGCTGTCTTCCCACGACGCTGCTGCGTGTCCCCACTGCCAGTGGTTCCTGCCGCCCCCACTCGGCCCCCACTCTGCCTGTTGGGCCTGCCGCCGCTTACAGCCCAGCACACCTAGGGCCCTTCGGAAACTCTCAGCTGATTGGTGTTCCATTACCAACGGGCTAGGCCCATGGCCGCCGGCCTGTCGTTGGGGCCTCCCGTGATCCAGGCCCAGTCGGCCTGTCTATCTCCTATCTCCCATAATACCCTGTCCTGCATTCCAACCAGCCCAGGCCGCCCCCAGAACCGTCTTCCGGGTGGCACACAGGCGCTGCCCCCTCTGTCCCTGTTCGAGCCCCCCCCCACCCCGCCCCATTATCACCTGTCTTTCAGGGCCTAGCTCAGGTTGCCTTCTCTCGGCTGCTCCTCCATCTGCCATTCGGAAGGGAGTCCTCCATTCTTTTGAGTTTCCACAGGACTTTTGGCTCAGTGAGCGTCTCACTGTTTCTGCCTTGTGTTTTAGTTGGTTCCACTTGTTTCTGTCTCCCGCTGGACTGGAGGCTCCCTGAGGGTCAGACAGGGTCTCAGCAAGCCTCAGAGCAACTAGAACAGCACCTGCACATGGCGAATGTGTTGTGGGGGCTGGTGCCTCAGGATAGAGATGTGACCCTCTGTCCCTCCCTGGCATGAGTGGCTGGGCTGGCTGGGTGTGCAGCTGCCGAGCCCTCCCCCTCCCCCTCCCCCAGTCCCTGGCTCTTGCTTTGTCGTTACCCTCCACCTGTCATGGTAGCACTCTCTTGGTGTGTCTGCTTTCACTGTCGCCCCCGAAGCCCACACAGCTGCTGACACAGTCTTTCAGAAACACCCATCTCTTGTCACTCCCTGCTTACTCTAGAGTAGTTCAGCCTCACTGCTCTTAGCGGGGAGTCTCATGGACGAATGTGCCCCCTCCCTGTGTTTGCAGTTGCAGGCACTCTCTGTGTGCCTTTCACACCTGCCGTCCTGGAGCAGGCTTGCCCCGTTGGCTTAGTGAACTCTTCTTACTGTTTCAGCTAATGGTTGTTCTCTGCGAGATGCCTTCCTCGACTCCCCAGGGAAGCACTTCCTCTCGGGTGTGCTGCGCCCGCATCTTGTACTTGTCTGCGGCCCTGCAGTTGCCAGTGTGTGCATGGAGCTGTCTGCCCACTTCCCGGCACAGTGCCTGATACACTGTCCCAGCACACGGTTAACCAAAGACCAGACTCCACAGCGAGCTTCATTCCGTGCTCGCGAGGGAGAGGGAGGCATGCGGACTCCCCAGGCCCCTCCCAGGATCAGCCAGAACATCCGTGGTAGAAGGCTGGGGCTCCTTGCTTCACTTTCCTCAAGTGTAGATTGGGAGTTCTCTGTGCCCTAGGGTCAGGTGTCATGTTTAGTAAGGGAAGGACTAGAAGCCCAGGACTCTGGGTCTCCTCCTCTGATACAAAGGTAATTTTGCAAAATGACTTGAATACAAGAGACAGAAGGTACTGTCATCCGCGGGATAGAAGCGGTTTTGGGGACACTGGACATTTCTCTACATCGGGCAGGGTTGTGTGACCTCGTGAAGCATGGCGTGAGACTGAGACCCTCAACCTGGCTGATTTGCTCTTTTTTGTTGTTCAGGAGGCACTGTTGCTGAGTTTGGTGCCTGAGCCGACTCGATTGGTGACAGCATGACAAGTGAGGTGATAGAAGACGAGAAACAGTTCTATTCGAAGGCCAAGACGTACTGGAAGGAAGTCCCGCCCACAGTGGACGGCATGCTCGGGGGGTATGGCCACATCTCCAGCATCGACATCAGCAGCTCCCGGAAGTTCCTGCAGAGGTTTTTGAGGGTAGGCAGGTCTGGCGTGCCGCCTAGGAGCAGAGGATGTGGCCCTGGTGGCCCGGCCTGGTCCGCACGGGGCGCCACCTTTTACAGGAACCACCGCAGGGCCTTTGGTTATCGGTTAGCGTCAACCACCCAGGCCTCGAAGGGTGGTGCGGGGGTGGCGTGCGGACTGGGACCTCCGTCTCAAGGTTGCCACATGGGAGCTGGCCCCTGTGCGGGGGCTCCTGGGCACCGGAACGGAGGCTTCCTTTAACTGTTCGGTTTTGTCAGGGGCGAGTCCTTCGCTCTCTTGCCGTGTTTGCGGGCTGTTGGGCTGTGGGTGCTGGCTGTTCTGCTGAAGGCAGGCTCTTGGCTCCTGACCCGCTCTGCCCTCCACTGTGCCAGGCTGGCGTGTCCCTGGCTGCAGCCTCGCCTGGCAAGCAGCAGAGGCTGGTGCTTGCTCCCCACGCTATGTGGGGTCTCCCCTCCCACTTCCCGCCTTCCCTGATCTGTGAAAATCACCGACTGCCTTCCATTTTTTCACAGCTTGAATTCTTTTCATTCTGTGGTTTTACTGGGGTGTCGGGAGTGAGAGGAGATAAATGCACCTGAAAATTCAAGTTAATCACTTTTAAGTGGCAGTCGGCTTGCATTTTCGGAATGTGTCCCCCAGGCAAGAATGTGCTGTGGTCCTACCCACTGGTGACCCCCCCGCGCCAGCCCCTGGCCTGTGTCCAGTCCTGACTGGAGTACCTGGGAGCTCGGGAGGAACAGCCCCTTCTCGGGGACAGGGTCCCTCGGACTCTGAGCCTTCCTTACGGAGTCTGTGCCTTCCCTGCTTCTCAGGAAGGCCCAAACAAGACGGGGACCTCCTGTGCCCTGGACTGCGGGGCTGGCATAGGCAGGATCACCAAGCGACTGCTGCTGCCACTCTTCGCGGTGGTGGACATGGTGGACGTGACAGAAGACTTTCTGGTCAAAGCCAGGACGTACCTGGGGGACGAGGGCAAGAGGGTGAGGAACTACTTCTGCTGCGGCCTCCAGGACTTCAGCCCTGAGCCCAGCTCCTATGATGTCATCTGGATCCAGTGGGTGATAGGTGAGCTCTCCGCCGCCCTCTCCACCTTCCACGCACCTTCCACGCACCTCCCGCTGCAGGGGCGGGTCCGTGCCCCCCCCCCCCCCCCCCCCCGGCCCCTTGGACGGCGGCCCCAGTGCTCCTGTAGGGGGCAGGAGGGCAGGGCTTTCTCCAGTCCTCCCTGGGCTCGCCGCCTTCCATGCCTTGTCAGTACCTGTTAAGACCTGCTTGGGTGCAGTTTTTGGTTGAAAAAGTGTAAATGACCAGTAACTGCATTCAAATAACGTGGAAATGAGTTTTTATAAGTAAATTTTTTTTAATAAGAGGAAAAATTGAAGCCTTGGCTGCCCCTGCTGTTCACGGCAAGTGAGCCTTGCTTTGCTGTCCCTCCTGCACCCACTTAGCCCCACAGCACACGCCCAGGGTGCTCTCCCTGGGCTGCTGACCTGGCGGGCAGACCGCTGTACCAGCAGTTGGCCACCCACTCCACAGCAGACACCGCAGCCCTGCTGGGGACACCCTGGGTCTGGCCCTGTATTTTGTGGTCCCTAAGAGCCTGCCTGGAATTCTAATTAGGGAAGGAACGGTTTGGTTATGCACTCCCTAATCCAGGCCTCGGGGGTGGGGGGGCGGGTAGCCCGGAGCGTAGGTGCTGGGCAGGGCCCAGGAGTCACCAAGTCAGCGTGCAATCCCAGTTGTGTGCTTTGTGACAGCCCTTGGGTGAGTGGCTTCTGAGCCAGCTTCCTCTTACATAGAACGGGATTTGGTAAGCCTCTCTGGACTGCTGAGCCCCAGGGAGGCCCCGTGCGTTCAGACAGAGCTCGGTAAGTGAGCGGAGGCTGAGAGACCGGGCCAGTGGTCTGTACGCGCTTGGCACCACTCCCTCCCTCGTGACTCCAGCCTCTGCTGTCCCCAGGCCACCTGACTGATCAGCACCTGGCGGAGTTCCTGCGGCGCTGCAAGCAGGGCCTGCGCCCCAATGGCATCATTGTCATCAAAGACAACATGGCCCAGGAAGGCGTGATCCTGGACGATGTGGACAGCAGCGTGTGCCGGGACCTCGAGGTGGTCCACAGGATCGTCCGCAGCGCGGGCCTCAGCCTCCTAGCCCAGGAGCGCCAGGAGAACCTCCCTGATGAGATCTACCACGTCTATAGCTTAGCCCTGAGATGAGCAGGGGATGGCCGGAGAAAGGGACCAGTGCGGGGTGGGGGGCTGGCAGCCGGGCAACACCCAGAGGCTCCATGATGATGGTTCGGGAGCGCTGAGCGAGACCGCCAAATATACCTGTCTGCCGTCCGTCACTAGACTCTTTTTCAAAAGGCATAATGGGACCCAGTGGGGAGGGGAGCCACTGAACAGAGCGTGAGGCTGGAGCCTGGCTCTGCGGCCCTCCAGTGAGGCTGGGACTGGGCAGTGCAGACCACGGGACTCCAGGGCCCCTGGGGCTCCCCACGTGAGAATACAGTGATCCCACCAGAAGTGGGAGATTTTCTGGATCTCCCTTTCAACCACCTAGCCTTCCAGCCACAGGCCTGGGTGCCTTAAGAGGAAGAGAACTCTCGGTTGTTGAGGACTTTTACCCTTGGGGGAAGGAGAGGAGCTGGGCCGTGGACCCGGCAGCTGCCGGGGATACTCATGTTCTGAGGCCTGTTTGGTGATGGGAGCCCTGGCGTCCCTGACGTGACCGTCACAACGGGCTACAGCAAGGGAAGTCTGCAGCCTCACCCTTGGCTGTGCCTTGCAGCTCCTCCTCGGTGAGCATTTTCAGTCAAAAAATAAAAGGGTAAATCCTGTACTGGGAAGGCCCTGGCCAGTCTGGAGTGGTGCTCTTCTTTACTGGGACAGCAGTGCGGGGCTGCCTGGATACTGTCCCCACCAGATGCTGCCATCCCCTCGTGCCTCTCACCTCTTCCTAATGGCTGGGTGCAAGCCTTTGTCCTAGGCCGGGGGAGGGTGCGGAGGGGGCCAAAATGTCATACAAGGACTTTGAAGGCCAAGAGAAACATTTTTCTTTATAATGTATCCTTTAGTTGCCTCAGCTTGCCTCCCCAGCATTCACACAATTCACAAGGACCCACGTGACTGGGAAGCGGCTTCGTGAGGGCTCAGTGTGGACAGTAGTCAGCTTGCGGTATTGGTAGCTTTCATGATCAGATGAACCCCTCACAAAACAGACATTTTGGAAAGGACTGTCCCTGGTCATGCAGGATTGCTTTTTAGCAGAAGGCACAGTCCCCCAAGATCCCAGGTTTGGCATAGGGCTGCCACCGGAATCCAGTCCTGTGCCTTGGTGGGCCGGGCCATGGATGACCTGGCCCCAGAGCAGCCAAAGGTGGCAGGGGTCAGCTCAGCTTTCTCCCTGGCCCCCCGAAAGCACTTCTGTAAGTGACCTAGTAATCTAGCATGGCGAGAGGTGGGAGTGAAGGGCCTCAGTGGGGTTGTGCCCCCACAGGCCCACCGTGCTTCCTTCTGACTTCAGCTGGGCCCCATGCAACACAGACCAGCCTCCTGCAGTTCTCAGGACCGAGACTCGGAGCCACCCTGCCCGATGCTCCCCGTAGATGAACAGGTTGTACACTCGTCCCAAATCTAAACCCGGTCCTTTTTCCCAGTGTGGTTGAGACTGGGAGTTCTGCCAAACAGAAGAGGGGCAGTCCCCCTGGAAGATGGAGCCTTTTCCCACCGGAATGACTGCAGCTGCTGGGCTCCACCTGGTTTTCTTGGTACGCAGTGAGGATCAAGTCTCGTCTCCCAACCTCTACCCTCTGACAGAGGGCCAGAAGGTTCTCCCCTAAGGCTGCCGCAGGTACCAAAATCCACCAGGAGACTGGGCTGCCCAGACCCTGCTCCCTTCGGTTTGGCAATGGTCAGATGTCCTCTTCAACAGCACCGCTGTGCTCACTAAGGAGGTACCACTTCAGCCTGTCGGGCAGAGGTAAGGCTTTGACCTTCACATCCACAGGCCAGGGCTGAAGATAGAGCCGGATGTAAACGCGACACAGGTGCTTGAGGGACGGAGGATAGCTCTCCAGCTGCCTCAAGGAGAAGTGAAGGGCCTGGATCTTTTCTGCCAGGCTGCCCACAGGATGGATATCGAAGTTTTCAGGCAGCTGAAGTTTCTGGGAATTAGTCACCATGAGATCCAGGACGGTCTCGGCTTTGCGCAGGAGGTCCACGTGGCTCTCATCTTCAGCACAGCCTGGGTGGGAACAGAGCCGCTCAAAGATGATGTGGAAGCCAGACCAGCAGGATGCACCATGGAGGGAACAGTTATAGGCTGCTCCGGACTCCAGCAAGAAGCGCAGGAGAGGGAAATGCAGTTTGAAGCTCTTGAGGCAGATGTGTGTGAGCGACTCGTGGGCTGGGCACTCGCTGGGGTCGGCCCCGTGGGCCAGCAGCAACTGCGTGACTTGGAAGCAGAAGCGGCTGATCATCTGGGCCTCCTCTTTGTCCCCTCCCACGGTCTCACCAAGCAGGAAGATGATGCAGGTGAACACGGTGTCCCCATCTTTGGTGGTGGCCTTGACATCTGCGCCTACAAGAGCCAGTCAGGAAAAGAGAAGATGGGAGGTCTTAAACCCCTGCAAAGTAGTGCTTCGTGTGTAATGGTGGGAGGGAAGGGCAAGGCCTAGGAACAGCCTGCAGACGAGTCTCACCTCCTTCCAGTAGGAGCCGGATGTTCTCAGTGTTATAAATCTGCACCCCGTCGCTACTGGCCAAGGCGTGGAGCAGAGCAGTCTTTCCTACAGGAGACAGAGAATGAGGAGGAGTGGGGACCAGGAAGCTGAGGTCAGGGCAACCCCTGAGGTGCAAGGGAAACCACTCAGGATGAGAAAGTGAACTTTTTTTGGTTTGTTTGTTTTCAAGGATTTTATTTATTTATTTTAAAGATTTTATTTATTTGACAGAGACACAGCGAGAGAGGGAACACAAGCAGGGGGAGTGGGAGAGGGAGAAGCAGGCTTCCCACGGAGCAGGGAGCCCGATGCAGGGCTCGATCCCAGGACCCTGGGACCATGACCTGAGCCGAAGGCAGCTGCTGAACCCACTGAGCCACCCAGGCGCCCCAAGGATTTTAAAGTAACCTCGACACCCAACGTGGGGCTTCAACTCCTAACACTGAGATCAAGTCGTGTGCTGCTCTACCAACTGAAGCCAGCCAGGTGCCCCTTTAAAAATGATCGACCTCTCAGCCAAGGCTGAGGGTGACCGGTTTGTGGTCATTCTCTTTCCACCCACACAAAACCAGGAGCAGAGTGGACAGAAGAGGTGGGATTTTTCAGGACACTCAGATGCCACCTGAGACCTGAGTCTTTGCCAAGAAGAAGTCATGGCTCCCCCCCACCCCCGCCCCAGAATCTGACCACACGCATGCCCCACTTCATCCTACAGACAGACCTCAAGGAGCTGGTGTGGGGCCAGTGGCTGCACCACTTCCCAAAAGCCTCTGCAGGTCAACAAAATCCACTGTGAGCCTGGCTGCGCTGTGTCATCAGACAGGCTGCATCCAGCCTGTATGCCTAGCCACTGCCCTAGGGTGCTCTGGGTTTCCCTCACAAGGCACCCTGCTTTCCCCTGGGAGGCACCCACCATGCTTGTCAGCCGCATTGACATCCGCTCCGAGGTCCAGGAGGCGCTGCAGGCAGGGCAGGCGCTCGGGCTCCTCACTGGCCAGGTCCAAGGGGCTGCTCTCGTGGATCTGAGCCAAGAAAGCACAACTGAGTGGGCCCGGGGGGCCTGGGAGGCTGCTCGGGGCCCCTCCCCCCACCACATTCCTGCTTCCGAGCAGGTCGGACCCGGCTCTTACCCGGTCCCTCCGGTTAATGTCCGCCCCGTGGCGCACCAGCAGCTCCACCATGTCTGGCTGGTTTCGCAGGACAGCGATGTGCAGGGCCGTGTAGTAAGTGACAGGGTCTGAGAGCACGGACATGGCCCGTGTCAGTCCCGCCCGCCCGCACCCGGCCCCTGGCTCGCCCCGCCCTCCCATCGGAGACCCGGGCTGCTGGCCCCGTGAGGGGTCCGGACAGAGCCATCCCCAGCAGAGGCCAGAACGCAGGCGCTCGAGTCAGACCTAGGGCAGGGTCCCCGGGGGCAGGCAGCCCCTCTGTCTGGGCTTTAGTCTCTTCTGTAAAATGGAACCGTAAGACAAGCCGCCTCTTCTCAGGCTGCTGGGAAGAGGCACCTCAAATGACGGCTCCTGAAGCCTCACAGTAACAGCCACGTTCTCGAAGCCAGTCTCCCAAGTGACTGACTTCATAACAGCCCGCACCCTGGGCTCCTTGGCCCTCCCCGAGCCTAGCGCCCTCTGTGCCTGTCCTCGCATGGGGAGGGGAGGCGTGCCCAGCCACATACTGTGGCAGCTCAAAGACCTGCATTGGTCACGAGTCAGCCCTGCATGTCTCCTGGCTGACCCTGCCCTCCCCAGTGAGAAAGCCACAGAGGAAAGGAAAATGGCTCCATCTCCATCCCCTGGCGCCTCCAGGCTAGAAGCTAACCGGTCCCTGCCGTGATTTATACCCAGCGTCACTTCTGTGTTTTCCCCTCTCCTTGTGGCATGGGCAAAAATGCGAGATGGCTCAGAATAACTGGCAGAAAATTGCTCTCCCGGAGCTCTGGGCACAGTGCCAGCAGCTGCATTTTCATGTTAATGGAAGCGGGGATTTAGCTGGGAAAGTCTGCTGATCAAGCACATGGTGGAGGCAGCAACAAACTCCCTCTCGGACCAGAGGGGGTCAGAGCCATTTGGAAGCCCACAGGGGGAAGGGGTTCCTCAGTCGCCACCCATGGAAGAAATCAGGGAAGCGGCTCCCAAGAGAACCAGAAAGGCAGAGCCACCCTTAAGCCACCTATCCCTCCCCAGCCCCTCTGGGCTCCAGCTGACCTTCAAAGTTGAGGTTGGCCCCGTGGCGCAGGAGAACGTCGGCCGCCCAGGTCAGCCCCAGCTCGGCCATCTTCAGCAGGGCATTGCTCACACCTTCCTGGTAAAACGGAGAGTGGGCTTTTCTCTCCAGCAGCTCAGTGAGAACAAGGATTCGGCTCTCCTCGCTGGCAACATAACTGGGCCTGGGGCAGCAGAGGGGTGGACCAGTTGGGGGGGGGCAGCTGTGAGACCAGCTAGCCTGGGCACCCCGTGGGTGGGTGGTCTTCTGTCATCATCCCCACTCCCTCCAAGGTAGGGCCCTGGTTCTGTGGGGCAGAAAGTCTCTGGAAAAGGCCTGTGGTAGCAAGAGAGCAAGCCGGATCTCTTAACTCAAGCTGACTCCTCGGGTTTGCTGAGAAAGAACTGGGGCTGACTCCAGCCTCCTCCCCAGTTGCCCAGACAATCTGGTCCCTGGCTCGGGTACAAAGCCTCACACAGCTGTGCTGCTGGGCCTGAAGGGAGCCTTTGCAGAGCCAGGAGCAAGAAGTGGACACTAACACCCCTTCCCCTGACACTGACCATCCCTGAGCTGC